TCTTGTTCTTACTATTACTGTTACTATTGCTACGATTTTTAACATTATTATTACCAATTATTGTTTCTGATACTTACTTATTGACAAATTAAAGACGGCGAAAAAAAGTGAAACGTGAACACAACAGTTATTTTGTAAAGCGATAAAAAAGCCTATACTCTTCTCTTTGTTTTTTTTTTTTGTCTTATCTTGTATAATTTTTAAGTTAATCAGTCTGTTTGTACAGAAGACACTAAAATATGTTATTTTGCTCGTTTGTCACTTTGGTTCTTCCTTTTTTTGTGTGTGTTTTATAAACGTTTTTATTTTATTTGATTAAATTCTCCGACTTTTAACAGCACCAATAATTATTACTGTAATTATTAACGCTAATGATAATGGTTCAAGTTGAATAACTACTAGCGAAGAATTATTAAAAAATAAGAAAACGATATCCATCTACACAGTTAATGGTAGGGGGATAAACTGCAAAAATTTTTGTATTACCAGATAAAGCAGAGCTTTCCAAGCGAATTTCTTTGTTTAGCACTTTCTTTGTTTGCTATAATCTCACTTCAAAAAGTTTTCATTTAATAACTGCTTCAGAGCTGCATTAATTTTCAACAAACAGTTATGTAGATTAATTTTTGTTTTTTTGTTTTGTTTTGACTGTTTCTTTTATTTGAAATAAAACTCTTAAGTTTATATTTTGCGTTGCTAAAAAAACTTTAACGGAACGGGAGGTGCGGGTAGGACACAGACAACCATTTGTCAATGTTTTAAATCGTTTACCTGAATTACTGGATAAATAACATATTTGTACATTTTAGTTTACAAATATGATTTGGTCAGTAAAAACAAGCACATTTATACAGTAGTAACACTGACAGTAAACGATCACATTTTGGCTAATTGACAAAAAAGATAAAAATTGCTCTACTGAAAGAAACTGAGAGTAATAAAAAACCACCAAACACAAATTCGGTCACATTCATAAGCACGCAGAGGCAGACACATACAGAGAAAGAAAAAAACGGCTTCATAAAGGAATAGGATACTGATGATACGGCATATGAGAACTTTTAGTCAGATATTTGGATCATTAATCGTGCATTATCATTGCCAGCATTTTTGCTATGTTCGGTGATTAGAAATTATTCCTATGATACAAATTTCAAGCATTATCATTATTACCAGTAGTATTTAATACGACCATAACTATTATTATTATCATTACTATCATTATTCTTCTTATTATTATTATTGATACTGTTATATTATAATTATTATTATTTAATTATTATTAATATTATTTTATTATTACTATTATTATCATTATTATTATTATTACTATTATTATTATTATTATTATTATTATTGTCACTATAATTATTATAATTATAATTATAATTATAATTATTATTGTCACTTCAATTATTATTATTATTATTATTATATTTATCATTTTATTATTTTATTATTATTATTATTATTATTATTATTATTATTAATTATCAATGATATTATAATAACAGTAATACCAATAACTAATACGTTGGCTTTAACTACTGTCGGTGTTGTTATTTCTTTATTTGCAGTTGCTCTAATTTATCCGCAAAAAATTGTAACACCCATCAAGAAGTATTAAGTTTTCCTCGGTTTTCTTCTCTATTCACAGTTTCTTTTCTTTAAAATTGTACAT